CCCTCTCTCTCTCTCTCTCTCTCTCTCTCTCTCTCGCCTTTCCTCCTACCCTCTTTTCTCACTTCAGTGTTCTCTCTGCGCCCCCCTTTTTTTTTTACTTAAGGTCGGAACTAGCGCGCGCGTCCGGACTCTCGGCGCGGTCGGTAGAAAATTTCGAGTTTACCCCCGAATTTCTTGTTGATCTTTCATCTCCCGGCTCTACCGGAGCAGCGAGTTATCGGAAATTCAGTGAAGTAAAAACTTACTAGATTCGCGCGATAAATCTAGTTATTCGATCGCCAAGTGGTTCTCGCTAGATAAGAATAAAGTTTCACGGGAAATACGGCGGCTGGAGCCGCCGTTGACCCGTTGGCAAGTATAGAGCTTCGATTTAGGCACGTCCGCGTAATCAGCTGCCTAATGAGCCGAATCCAGAACTACAGGCTGTTTCCGTAATGGCGGATCTTCGAACAGGCACGTCCGAGGGATCATAAATCACGGGCCATTTTCGAAGGGCAAAAGTGAATTTGGATATTTTCTTGCGACCGTTACAAATTCCATCGGTACGATTCGCGCGACGCCGTGTGATACGGATCGCTCGGCTCGATGAAAGAGAGAGAGAGAGAGAGAGAGAGAGAAAAAGTTTAAAGAAAGTTACGCGGAATTTTTAGACCGGTAGCAATGCCAAGCCTGTCGGCGCTGCCGACAGGCTGCTCGATACTCGAAAGTAGTTATTTACTTTTATTGCCGCGCGTAAACTGACACGTAATTTCAACAAGCGCGGCTCTCGAAAACGTCGAAGTTTAAACATATCGACTGTGTGTGACTGCGACTATAATACGTCGGTAAATAGCGTTCCCAAGAGCCGCGCCGGTTCGCGCAATCGCGTTAGGGTCAGGGAGCGTATTAAGATCTCGAGCGTACACGACGCATGAGTCGACCACTTAAAATGGAAACGTCGAGAGATAGTCATGCCTGAGGGCTTCCAATTGGAGCATCGCGCACTCAGTGGAATCAAATCAGTTTGGATCGGTATGGCCCAATCTCGAGAGGGAATATTTCGATTAAAGTACTAAGAATCCGCGGAGGGGAAATAAGGGCGGCCGACGTTCTTGCGAGCGAGCGAGTGAGCCGTCGAATATTTCTGAAAATTATGATTTCTCAAAAGTTCCTGTTGCGTTCCCGCGAGCCCCGGATTCCGCGGAAATTCCGACATTTATACCACAGTTCTACCTTCTATCGTCGTCGGCGAATTAGAATCGAGCGATTCAACTTGGCCGATTGTTCCGCGTCGTTGATATATTTTACGAGTCGTATAATTAGCCCGCGTCGCTTTTGTCCTTTCCATTCTCTCTTTTCCCGAAAATGTCGTCTCTCGAATGAACACGAGAGAACGCTTTCGTCAAACGGGAGAAATATGCTTGAAAGATGTTTCGGTGACATTCGTCAATATCAAGTTCAAGCAGCTCGTGACTGATTAAGGGCCACCGAAACGTGCACTAGATTCGATGTATGTACGTGGCTGTCGAGACATCGATATAAATCAACATACGGCGGCTTCGGCGTGTCACGATAGCATTTATAGCGATCGTTTGTTAACGCATGACTCGATCTCCAACGCGTGATAAAGCTCGATGCGTGATAAAAAATACGCTCAACTATATAGTCATCCTTACGGCCGATATCACCTCACGTCCGGATCGACTTCATCTTCGCAATCTTTCTTTTAAATCCTTTTTTTTTTTCTCTTATAGAATATCAGCCCCGCGTACGAAAACCTTCGCCATAGATCTACAATAGCTCCTCAATTTTTCAACCAGACATTCTCGGTGTAAAACGTCGGGCTTCAAAACGTCGGGAGCAATTCTTCCAATCGATCTCCGATATCTGGAATCTCGATTTCTCCTCTCGCTTAAATCTCAAAAACTGCGTCCGCGGCGCGGATAAGTATTGACAGAGAGAGAAGCAGTGACAGCTTCGTGCGCGTCGCTCCGAAAAATCCGATATAAAATTAATATTCCGGTGGAAGCGATTGATTACAGTCCTCGAGAGGAGGAGGAGGATGCATTGTGCGAGGGAGTTTTATATATATATATATATATATATATATATATATATCGCTCTCTTTAAAATACCACACCGCGTGCGTTCGTCAGGTGCATTCTGCGTCATAATGTAGGACAAATTGTTTGCCAAAGAGTCAGGTTAATGCAAGTGTTCGAGAATAGACTTCGCGCTTTGTTCGGACGTTTGAGGGGCGGCATCACTTATTCACAAACTGAGAAGACCGCTCTCTCACTTATCCCAACTAACTCGCCTGTCCGAAACTAAAACTGTCCTTTTGCTAGTCTGACCGTTGGTGGATAAATAAAGCGACGAACGCGACGCGAGCGAAAGCAAATAGCGAATAAAGTAATTGAATTAATGCAAACGAGAAAAAGAATCGGAGAAACAATGTTTGCCCCTCTGGTATATTTGCAGAATGTTAAATTTTTATAGCGCTTGTCCCCTCAAAGGACCGTAAAGACTCGAATCGTTTTTTGCTCCATGAGACAAACTCGATATTCTCTTACTTTCGTATCTGTTTCTTTCGTGTAAGTATCGACAGCGCGGGAAAGCAGCAAATACAAAACTGCCCGATATGTAGAACGAGTTCACTTCTCTGCCGGGACTGAGTTTCCCACATTTCGTTAACCCGACACGTTCATTTGCTCGTAATCTGTGACGAAAGATTTTGCATGCTCTGAGTAGGATTATCAAATCTATAACAATTAGATGTACAGAGGTAGACGTATCTTTCTTTGTATAATAATAATAATAATATCATTTATCTGCATCTTGACACACACACACGAAATGCTTGTTGACTCGGAGATTTTGCGGGGATAATCACCCATGATGCAATGTGTGTGCGTGTGTGTGTGTGTGTATGTGTGTGCGTGTGCGTGTAGGTGTATGTATAATCTCTGGAGAAAACCATGCACACGTACCCCGAATACCGATGAGCGCGAGAAAGCGCATAGAGTATAGAGATACGATCCGCTCATCCGATGAGTAGAATGCACAATCGCGGTGCGACACGATAACGCGCCAATATCGGTCAGCGACGGTGTCACAGCAGCGATGACACATTGATTCGTTCGTTCGTACACCTTGTCGTATAATAATTCTCAGCTATTAACCCGCCGAACGATCGGCGATCAAAGACGGCGGAATCGTAAAAAGTTGACGGCAGCCGCGAACGTCGCCGTCGTCGCGCTCGGATATTTCAATCTGCCCCCCTCCTTTCCCCGCCGCTCTTCTCCCCCCAACTCCCCTCTCACTCTCTCTCTCTCTCTCTCTCTCTGTCTCTCGCGCGCGCGTTCTTTTTTGCGAAATAAGCATTCTAGAACAAACAAAAAATTTTTTTAAAGCCGATCGCAGGCGGGGAGTTTTGTGCGCCGCACATTCCGAGAATACTGAGAATAACGTTCGCCGGGCAATAAAGAGATAATGCCGAGCTTTGAGAAAAGAAGAGAACGTCCCTCGGTAAGTTCTTAACGGGACGTTCTGCCGTTCTGAGAACCTTCTATCCCCGAACGAGGCAATTACAGGCCGTGGTTTACCGGTCGCGTTTACACCCGTAGCCTGCTTCCACGGTATAGGCTAAGCCCCCCCCCCCCCGTACGATCGTAAACTTAGCTGACGGGGTTCAACCTCTTTGGCATTGGCGTTCGATATCTCGAACAGCTCGCGTCCCGCTTCGACCACGTCGTGAAACCCGGTTGACCTCTTTCGTAGTATCAGTAAAAGTAATGCCGCAGAGACGCGACAGAGAACGCGGGGAGAGCGCCGGGAAGAGGATGAAGGATACGTGACAGATCTATCGCGTCGCGGCAAGTAGATACTTTCAATAATAGCTTTCCCAAGGCTCCATGTGCGTGTTGTTTCTTATATTGCTGTCGGGATCGGGAGCCGATCGCTGCTGGCTGTCGCGAGCGGAATAATCGTTTCGCCGCGTAGCCGCTGATCGTTTTTTGATGAATGTCCCCCTCGCCACAACCTCGCCCGCCGGGCGCGGGCGCTTCGCTTCGCGAGCGTTACTCATTCTTTATGCGTCGATCGTGATTACGAGCGAACGCGACTTATACGGGACGAGTGGGGCGCGCGAGAGAGACTGTGCAGCATTGATTGATAATAAAATAAACGCCGATGGCGTATAAATAAAATAACAGAGAGGGCAGTCGACATTTCCTGCGTTGTGTGCATTAATATACGTGTGCGTGTGTGTCTATATATATATATATATATATATATATATATATATGTGAGTATGCGTGGTTGGGGGGTGAATTGTTTCCCTAATTAAGGAATAATTTTATCGTCGTAATTTACAACGATAGAACATTACTAATATTTGACAGGCGATGAATTAAACGCGAGAATTGAGGAAAATTGGTATACGCTGACGTCGATTAAAACAGATCGCAACGTAGCGTGAACGTTTTGTATGTATAAATATATATGTATATGTATATGTATGTAGATGGGTGTGTGTACATGTATGTGTATATACGTAAAGTAAATTTGTTAACACATAATTCCGTATTTTATATTTACTAGAAATAATTAATTTCCTGCTATGAACAGAATAAACAGCGATGTCGCAGCAAATATAATCTAAAAATTCGCAGCGCAAAATTCGTTGGCCGAAACCGTAATCGAGCTCTCTCGCTCGCGATAAACGATTCCCGAACCGTTTTACATTTTTCTATATTCCGTTGTGTGATACACGTTAGAATTCCGTTAGAATCACAAATTTATTTGAATATGTACCGAGCGATTTTTTTTCCTCCCTTTTCCCACGAGTCAACTGCGAATTTTTATTGCGAATCCGGAGAAGGGTACACGAGGTGTGACTTAAACTTTGAGGATCCGGTGTGGCTGCGATTTACTAACGCTTGAATCGTGTTTCTTAAACTTCCGCCGATATGTCGCACGAGCAAACACAGACTAAGGTGCTTTATCTTTTTGTCCCGCAGCGAACGCGAAACCGCTGACGTTCGACGAAGTTTACAATCAAAGTAGTCCGACTAATTGCACGGTGTACTGCGGTGGATTGACCAACGGTTTAACAGAGGATCTCATGCAAAAGACCTTCTCGCACTTCGGCACCATCCAAGAAATTCGAGTATTTAAGGACAAAGGATACGCTTTCATCAGGTAAATATATATATATATATATAAATGTGCATCTTGATGATACGTCGCGCGATATATCGATATATCCCTGCATCTGTCCAACAGGCGTTGATATTCATTTTCCATTCTGGCGGGCTCGTCATACAGATTGACATTACGAGGGAAACCTCTCAAAGAACGCGTCGCGAGTATAAAAATCCACGTCCGTCTTCGCGCCTCGAAATAGGAGCTGGGCGAGAAAAAGACTCCTCTCTCTCTCTCTCTCTGACACGGCGATGGCGGACCTTCGACCAAGTCGCGGCGCGCTATACGAAAGTAACAGCTGTCGTACTTAAAAATAAAACGTCACGCCAGACATCCGCGCTGCTTGTTCTTATCGCACGCCGCACGTGAGATAAAACCGATAATTTTGAATTCTGAGGTCTCTCCCCGAAGACTATCAACGACGTTGTTGAAGCGCGTTGTTGAAGCGAGTAGGCAGGCGGGCTACGTGTCATGAGTGGTAGCTTTTCAAGTTGTCAGTGCAAGCTGAGGTCCAAATTCCCCAAAGCGGCTATGGATTCCAGACAGATCCCGCAATCAGAGATGATCGTTCGCCATTTCGCGAGCGTACAATGCGCTCTAGAGCCGAGCGGCAGGCTCTACGGGCTCTACGGGAACTTGGTGTAAACGTTCGCACGTGTGCAAAATGCCGCGCTGAACGCGCCGCTAACTTTTTGTTACGACTCGCCGTCACGAATACTCGGCGCGATCGATACAACACACTTTTAATTTCGCCGTCGCGCGTTAACCGTGGTATAAGAAGTAATCCCCGCGAAACCCCGATAGAGGTTCTAATATATCGGTCGCGCATCGCGCACACCATGAGCCGCTGCTTCGGCTTTCAGCCAGCTCGTGATCTCCCCGTTGGAGCCGTCGGATATAGCGCTGCTCTAATTTCATTCTTTTCGCGATCATCGCGAGCATTAACTCGTTATTCGTGGTCTACATTGGTGCCGCACAGCCCAGGCTGCCCCCGCGCGGTCCTCACAATTCCACGTGTTTGCGAAAATAGTCGAGATCCCGGCCATTTCATCAAGCTCTCAACTAACGGCGTTTAATCATAGATCGGCTAAGCCGATTACGAGTGGTCGACCCTTCCAGGAGCTTTTCTAATCTAAACCAGATATCTTTATTTATCTCTCTCTCTCTCTCTCTCTCTCTCTCTCTATTTGCTAGAATACCCGTCCGTTTTCGCCATTCAAGAAATGTACCTATTAATCGAGAGAGAGAGAGAGAGAGAGAGAGGAGAAGGGTATATACGTACATAACGACTAAACTGCCATAATTTTTGCCAACATAAACCCAAGTGTTTTCTCCATTAAACTAATAAAGATACAAGAGTTTCGCGTATTATCGCGCCGCATCTCGATAAGTTGCGGTTATTAAAAGTCCTTTTATACCCCACCGTTTAAATCACAAAATGACTTATCGATCAGCAGACTCTCCGCGAAGAACACTCGAAGCCAATTCTCTGAACGTGAAGAATTAAACGACGTACTTTGGTGGGTGAAATCCTTAAAACCATTCCACTGATTATATAATCAAACTTCGTTAATTACCGGAGCTTTTTACTGCCTTGTAAAGGCAGGGGGAAAATCCAAGGCAAAAAAACTTGGTACACTATACATACGCGCGATGTTGTAAATTTAATCAAACTTTAAGTGCTCCTTGACGTTATGTCGTAATAATAACTTGTACAATTTCATCCTTCCTGTTGTTTCTTTTTCTTCTTTTTTTCTGAGCAAACTCCTCCTATCCCCTCAGATATCTCGGGTATATATTCAGATATCGCCGACACGCTAGACGCAATAAAGTTTCGCAGAATATCGCGCAAAACTACGCAATCGTCCTCGTGGCGGTCAGTTTTCGAGAGCAAAACGCCTACTTGTGTGAATTCGTCCTGGGAAAAGTGGAATCATAATGCCAATCACACCACCACGCACACATCGATTGTCGGGAAAGCTTACGTCGCTCTTGTCTAAATTTACCATTCAACCAATCAACCCAGAGCCATTACACTATAGTGCCGTAGCCATACACGTATTATGCGTGGCTGATGATACGCTCGTACCAACCGAACCGGTCGAATAAATTTATCAGAAAATCGAACAATCTGGCCTAAAGCCAAGCAGGTGGGAGCAACGTATGTGTATGTGTAACATGTGTACAAAGGCTACATTTGCATAAAGCGATTGGATGTTGGGCGCGCGATACAATAGTCGCGCGCGCGTGCGACGCGAGACTTGAGGAAATTTTACCGAAAATCATGAGCGATGATCGCGGCCGACGCGAGTAATACGAGTCATCGAGCGAGGTTTTACGAAATATTAGGAAATTGCGTGGGTAGTGCGCCAATACCGAGCACCGCTTGTGATTTATGGCACGAGACGCGAGAACATGTCGGGTCAATGGCGGCATGTCGGACTCATCAAGCTCGGATCCGTGACCATTTCATTAATTCACCCATTACATCGGCACAGATCATATACATATTTCGGCTCAACTTGCCAACAGCGCCAGCTGCAATCCGCTATATATGTTTCGAAAACATTTATGAAAGATTGTCAAATATCCCGTAACGAGGCTAATATCTCGCAAAATACGAAGAGACGGTGTCGGTCGTCGTCACGCACGATCGACACGAATTTTGTCGGCGACGCACAATGGGGCCAAATGACATTTTTTGGTTGAAAATTCTCTAGAGACCTGAATTTCCAACCGATCATCGATACACCAATGGATGAGGTTGATTCTGAATAAATTCCAAAGAGATCTGTCAAGCCGAAATTTTGAAAAAATTACCGGTTCAGGATTCATGGGTTTAGGATTTGTGTTAAAAGTTTATCGTTTAAAGTACAGTGTCTTGGGTTCGAGCCTATGGATACTAAATGCGAGACCCCAGAACTTATAATCCCCTTTTAGAAAACTCAGAATTCCAAAGCTCATCGTTTCAGCGCACATTAAGAAAGAATTAAGCCACATGAACCCAATAAGTAAAAACATGGAGAACCCGAGATTTGGCATTCAGCATTTCTAAGTTCGAACTTAATGTTTCATAACTGAATATTCAACGTCGAGTATTATTAAGTTCTCGAACTATGGCTAGATTGAGTTCTTGGACTATTTGGGGCTCTTAATATATACGGCTTCATGCATCCACGAACTAAAAAGTTCTCGGATTGATAGATTCCTAGGTTGATGGGCTTAAGACTCAAAATCCCTCGATTTTGTGCTTAACGGCTCTATATTTGATGTTTTTGTATTTTAGGCATATGAGTTTTGGGTTAATGGGTTTCTACTTCAAGATCGATAAATCTCAAGGTGTCTGTTGATTGGTTTCATAGTTTCAATCCGCTGAATACGCTATTAGATAGAAATAAGTGTCGAATAATGAGTATTTCACAAGTTTCTCGCGTTTAACGATAATTTTTTCTCTTTTGGGGCTAGTAATTCGAGACAAAAATTTTTTTCAAAATTTTGGCAAGACAGATCTCTTCGGAATTTATTCAGGATCAACCTCATCCATTGGTGTATCGATGATCGGTTGGAAATTCATCTAGCCCCACTGTGCGACGTCAACGACCGAGACGTGAGCTTCTCGGCGCGTGAATTAACGTGAGCGATCGCGAAATAATGATAAATCCCGTGGCGCGCGGAAGCGCCGCGACCATGTCGATATCTCGGAGCCTGGAGAAAAAGGAGCCTGAGAGAGTTCGTGAAATCAGCTGAGCATTTATATCTCCCGAAGGCGAATTCAGCGCTTCACCTTAACGACGGCTAGGGATCCGTGACCTACCTCAGAAAAGACTGCCGAGAGTGTGGGAGGGTTGCTCTAGAACGAACGAACGATAAGAGAGAGAGAGAGAGAGAGAGAGAGAGAGAGAGAGAGAAAGAGAGAAGCGGTAGTCGAGAAGGAGACTAGAGAGGGAAGCAGGGACGGAAGAAGGAGACAAAAAACCCTTTCTTACGTACCACCTCCCTCTCGCCACCCCCACCGTTTCCTCCATCCCTTATCCTTTCTCGCGCGCGCGTTGCTCGATATCCTTGTCCGTCCTTATCCGATACGATGGCCTCTACTGCTCCGTACGTCTGCCACAGTTCCGCCACCCTTGGACAATGTCCGTCGTTCAGATATCTTCCGTCTAATTGCTCTTCCTCCCTCCGTTCTCCCGTGGCGCGCGGAACCCCGGAAACGAATATCTCGGGATGACGTATGGACTTACTGCAAAGTACAGCGAGGAAGCAAGACGGGACGGGTGGTGGATAAGGAAGAGGGAGGTCTTTTCTTCTCGGGTGAAAGAAAGAATCTTATCTGCCGCTGGTTATCGCTCGAGGTTCGGTCGCGGGAGAGAGGGGGTTGCTGACGATGACCATCGTTCGTCCTACTCAACGATCGTGGATGGGAGCTCGATAGATGGAAAGGGGCGAGCGCCTAGACGAAGTCGCCATTGTGTAATCTCGAACGCGAACGTTAAAAGTAACCTAATCCTCGATAAATTCAATAATTCCCTCTCGCTGCTCTCTTTCCCCTCCCTTTCTAGTTCTCTCGTTCTTGCTCTCGCTCTCGCTCTCGCTCCCGCTCCCGCTCTCTGTCTCTATCGCACGCGGTCCGCCGAATTCGTCGCGCTCTAATCAGAGATCCTCGAGCACCCTCGTCCTTGTCCGCCAGGGACAAAGTTGATCGAATTTACCGCGAGAGGTGCCGGATTCTCATATATATGGATAATTGGAAAGCGCTACATATAGAACCGAGCTCCATTCTCGCGCTTAAATATTTACGTAATGGCCCACAAACGGCGAGGTATTCGTCTCGCAGCAACAAAAAGCATAAATGCATTCCTTGTCGATGCCGACAAATTTGGAACGCCTGGAATATTAAATTGCCCGCTTCTCTTTCTCTTTCGCGCTCTCCCTCTCCTTGTCCTCCTGTCTCTCTCTCTCTCTCTCTCTCTCTCTCTCTCTCTCTCTCTCTCTCTCTCTCTTTCTCATAAAACCCTTCGGTTTTTTGAATATCGCCGAAAGACGAGGCCGTTGAAGCGACAATTTATCCGTATCATTCGTTGTAATAAACGATAACGCGAGCGCATTCCGCCGTCCGAAATGGCGCTATCCTAGCAAACTAGAAACTAACCTACCTCGCGTAACCGGTGTGTAGAATTTAACAGCGAATGCCTGCCTACATCTACAGTAATCTAGATTCGTCGAGATTCACAATTACTGTGCTCATTCGTGCGCACGGTAAACTCGCATAAATTAAACTGCAGCAGTCGCAGAGACCATTTCGTTAAGCCACCATAATAAGGTCCGGTTTAACTGGTGGAAGGAGCACCGCATTGCTCCCGGGAAGCGGACTTTTCTTTTTGTACACACCATCGCGCCCGGCGCGCACCAACACCGCCGGCGACGTCGTCGAAAGACACGTCTCGGCGAAGGACCTAAATCCCCTTCTCTTTCGATTTCAGGTTTTCCACCAAGGAGTCGGCCACGCACGCCATCGTGGCGGTACACAACACAGACATCAACGGCCAAACGGTGAAGTGCAGTTGGGGCAAGGAGAGTGGAGATCCTAATAATGCTCAACAAACTGGACAGGTAAACGCTCTCTATCTTTTTCCTTTTACTCGTCCTACGAAGTGGACATTTTCGACGTGAAATTCCGCTCACCCTGTTTCCCCGATATTTACATCGCCGCTCGTACACGCGAAAGACGTCGGAGAGAAAATTTCTCTCTCTCTCTCTCTCTCTCTCTCTCTCTCTCTCTCTCTCTCTCTCTCTCTCTCTCTACCATATTTTATGAATAAACTCCTTCGATACCTCGAAACGTAATACGTGGAAAATAAGAACGGCGATCTCACGCGCATGGGCGAGTATAAATCGCGAGTGGAGTGTCCGCGTTGCGGAGAATCGACGATCGTTCGCGGAAGAATGCTACGATTAATCTCTCGCGCCTGATAAACGCGTCAAAGCGATAAACGTGCCGGCAAATTACTCGACGCGCATACACGCGTACGTATAAAACTTGAGCTTGCCGTTGTTATACGTGCCACTGGGATCGAACAGTATACACTCAAAGTGTCTCAAAGAAGCGGACGCTGTTCAAAGAAGGAAGTAGTTACCAGGTTCGATCACGACCGGTTCCTTCCGGTCTCGCGCGGCTAAAGTGTCCCTGTTGGTGTATCGGTATATATGAGAGACTGGCTGGAGAGTCCGGTGAAAGAGTAAAGCCGAAAATGGGGAGAGAGAGAGAGAGAGAGAGAGAGAGAAGATGACAGATCATGGGTAGGGGAGAGAGAGAGAGAGGGGGGAGGGAGAGGAGATAGAGAATCGGGCAAGATTCCGGTCTATTCAGGTGCCTCTCTTCGAAGTGTGTCGGCCGAGTCTCTTAGCAATTAGCTCCGTTAGAACGGGTAGGTACGCCCGATCTGGGAATGGTAGCCGAAGTACTTCCCAAACCCTCTCGCACTCCCCGCTAGTACTTCCGTGCATCCATCCACTGCTACTCGGCCCGTGACATCGCTCTAATTGATCTCTATTCCCATAACGCGCTTCTCCCAGGGGAGCCGAGATATCACGTTAGTACGTATATCCTGCCATACCCTGTTCCCGTATTCAACGGAATCGGATTGGTTTGCGTGATATTCCGGTTGAGCGTGCCGCTTTAACGAAGAGCTGTAATGGCCGCGCATTATTTTCGTCAACTTCTCGAAAACGCGGCTATCGGGGAGATATATCGGGGACCAAAGATGCACTTTGCATGTTCCATTATTTAACAGTGTCGCGTCGTCGTCGCCCGTCGTTTGACACTTTCGAAATCTTTCTCACGAGCAAAAGTGTAACAGGAAGTTCGCTCGCTTGCTCGCTCGCTCTCTCTCTCTCTCTCTCTCTCTCTCTCTCTCTCTCTCTCTCTCTCTCTCTCTCTCTCTCTCTCTCTCTCGCTCTCTCTCTCTCTCTCTCTCTCTCTCTCTCTCTCTCTCTCTCTCTCTCTCTCAGGCGCCGTTGGCAGCTCGATAATGAAACGGAATCAAACGGACGGACGGCGAGAGTCTTTTCCCCCACATAATTGTTAATTATGCGAAATTGCCAAGACGCTCGTTACTCAACGACAAGTATCATTCGGTTTTAACGCGTGGGAAGACGGACACGTTGCCGGCAGGATAATTTCAACGGCGCGGAAATGATCGCGCTCGCGCGAGGATCTACGACGGAACGGAATTACTATTGTCGACCCTATCGGCATCGTTAAGCATAAAATCCAGACAATGTTCTTGCTCTTTTCTATTTCATTGATCCCCGTGCTCTTTCAGGCGTTATCGTCGGCGACGTACCCATACTACGCGGCGGCGGCAGCTGCCGCCGCGGCGGCGGCGGGCGTCGCGGGTGTCGGAGGCGTCGGTGGCGTCGGCGGTGCCGGACAACTGGGATACTGGTATCCGCCCCAATCTTATCCTACGACAGCGACACAAATGCAAGCTGGCGGCTTTCTTCAGGGCATGCAGGGATACACCTATGGACAGTTCGCCGGATATCAACAGGCGCAATATATGGGGTAAGCTTTTCACGCGAGATAACTTCTTCTCGCCCGTGCCGCGTTAGGGCTATTGTGCGCGCGCGGTCGTCGTTCTCGTTGAGGGCTGAAATTTCGCACGCGACCGGGCTCCTGAATAATCCTGAATAATCCTGGAAGGAAGAAAAGAGAATCCGAATCGCGGATCGAAACTCCAGTCTAATACGTACACATGAAGACACACCGTGCCCCGCCCGCAATCTTGTAGTATCCGTCTGCCGGTGGATCTAGCGTGCGAGCTCGAAACAACGACTCGGCGAATTTTAAGCCGGCCTTCCGAGCTTTAACATTTGCATCGAGCGCTTTGCAAGTCGAAGGCGTGTGTAACTTCCGCACAATTATTCATAACTACTCGAAGAAGATTAACACGTAGGCAGGCTCGTAGACGCACAGACGCGCTCGTCGGCGTGTATATCGTACCACGCTATCATTATAAATAGAGAGAGCGCGATCCTGCCCAACCGAGAGCGCAAAATATATTACAGACGGATATTAATCGTCGATGAAATTCGCCCCGACCGTTTCGCCGTTTCGTCCGTAAAATAAAACGGCGAGGAAGAAGACGGAGAGACGGAGAAAGAGAAAAAGATTTCGCGACTCGACAGTTACGTATTTCGTATCTCTTGCGAACGCAGAATGGGCATGGGTGTCCACGCCGCTGGCACAGCGGCAGGATGGGGCCAGGGATTACCTGGGGGACCACAGTTACCACCACACCACGCCACGACGGTCACGGCACCCCCAGGGGTGCAAGCCGCACCCCCGCCACCACCGCCACCGGCACAAATGATGGCCTACCCGATGCAACAGTTCCAGGTAACCATTACTTTATCTATCCCGCCTGTGCGGCGCATCTCGCTGTGCGCGAACGCGCGCCGTGTTCGTCTGTGTGTGTGGTGTTGGTTTGCTGACGTAGGAGTGTTTCGCTTGTTTCTTTTTTTTTTCTCTTTTTTTTCACATACCTCTGCATCTTGCCCCTGTTACGTGCAAAGGCGATTTCGTCGGTGCCGGTATTGGCTTGTAAATGTTGCACGTGGAAACTCGATTCGATATCAAAAGGATATCGAAGGCATGTGTCGGCAGAAGAAGAGTATGTGCGATATACCATATATATATATATATATAATTCTAAGATTACCGACATATATACATACATATATATATATATATATGTATGTATATATGTCGGTAATCTTAGAAAACCTCGTAAACTTGATACTGTATATCATCATTCGAAAGCTCGAGCGATAGAAGTCGGCACGCTTCGCGAATGCCGCTCTGCCGCATTCACGGGCAATTTTGCACAAATGAAATAGCGAAACGTGGTTACTGCGATAACACGCATGTCATATAATTTGCCACGCACGTGTAATGTTCGGTGTAACATTCGTTTCGACTTGAGTCGACGATCATTTGCGAGGTTGCAGGAGCAACGGCGGTATGATAATTTTAGCAATTTGCCGTGCGCAGCATTATTTACCACGAACCGCTTTTGTAAAATACGCCGCGAATGGACCGGCGCGATTTCTTAAATTGTATTACAAAACGAGCATTATGCGTTTTACGTCATGAACGCGATAATAAATTGCTCTTTCGATAGCACGCAGCCGGGCGCGCGCACGCGCGCGCTACATCATTAATCTTCAATTCGTTGGTCATTTCAATTTATGGATAAAACGCGAAATCGTTTAACATTAACAAACAGTGCTGTGTGTAAACGAGGCGCGGATGATTATTATCATCGAAGGCGCATGTATGCACGCGCAACCCAAGGTTGCGATTTTCGTTGCGTACGAGTTGGGTAAAAGAGAAAAAAAGAAAAGGAAGAAAAAGAAAACAGTTCGCATCTTTCGCGCACGCGTAATTCGTAGCTATAATAATAATCGATATGTAAAGACGGTAAGTATTCTCGTACTCGAGTGGTTACGCACAGCACGTTACTCATCTCTGCGCAAATAGATGTACAATTAACATTTCGTTTGCCAGCTCCGACGAGCGTGTTTATTTTGCCATAGACGAAGTTGTCCCATGGCGGTAATGATTGTGTTATGAACGATTGTGTGGTTGAATGTTTGTAATGAGCATGTCTGCTAGATTGAAGTAACACGAGTAGCAACGAGGCGAGAAATATACAGCCGAGATACTTATGCAATACAGAACATTTCTACCATCTTGTGTACCGAATTTCGAGATATATTAATAGAAACTCAAGAGGGAGAAAAGCAAGACCACTTGCTTTGAATTTTTGTCAAAGAAATTCTCGATACTAAAGAGTAGATTGATGGGACTAAACGGGGTGTCATGCGATGCTAAATTGTAGTTGCATCGCTTTGATTTGTATCATTCTAATGTGATCTCTAATCTGTTGTCAAGAGAGAAAGAGAGGGAGAGAAGGAGAGAGAGAGAGAGAGAGAGAGAGAGAGAGAGAGAGAGAGAGAGAGAGAGAGAGAGAGAGAGAGAGAGAGAGAGAGAGAGAGAGAGAGAGAGAGAGAGAGAGAGACAAGATTACACTTATTTGTAACGGAGTAACTTTTAGTTTCGCACCAGGCATTGATGGAGCAAGACAGACTCACTTTCCCGCTCGACGTATCATGATTTAGATACGTTCCAAAAATTGTGCTCCATGGCAGTGAGGTGAAATATGATACTTATCGTAGTTGTCCAGAAAAGTATATATACCTCGGACATTTTATACTTTCCGCACGGACTGCACACGTAAGAAAGTGCGCACCGCACACAGGCACACGTGCCATCGCTAAAAACGACATGGCCGCAAAAAAATGTGGAATATTTGAAAAGAGATCGCGGATGGCTTCGGGCGAGCGCAGAGAATGCATTTCAACTCAGCACCGCTTCTAATGGCCCGCGATTCTTTTTGCTACGAGAACAATTTCTGAACCTGACAACTTGAGGTTTCAGAAAATTGAGAATGACTATCTTAATTTAGAAGCTCGCTAAAAATTCAACTTTGAAATTTTTAAATTAACTCTTCGCTTATTTCTTTATACACACACACACATATTTTCATCCCCATCGCTTATTAAGTAAAACTGGAAACGCGTACGTAATTACGATCTTCAAATATTTATGTCTTTTATGTTTATTAATCACAATTGCATTATATATACACACACACATCACGCATACATATATGTAGTCACATGTCCCTTTCCGCTGTGATACGTTAAACTCTTCGTATCTCAATTTAAAATTTAAATTGCAAAATTTCTTTCGGATTATCACGTAGTGCTAAAATTCAAATTATGGAGAATGGTCACTTTAAATAATTAAGTCAAACAGTGCGTGAGCTCGTATCCTAATAATCTCGATTTATTAATATATAACTGTCAGATAGACGTTATCCATCAATTGCAAAAACGTGAAGTTCGGATTAAGGAATAAGTCGGATCAAGCGGTTAAAAAGTCAAAGTTAAAAGATGCTTCAAAGGAAATATAGTTATTCGAAACAAGAGAATAATTGTTTTCTGACGAGCAGGAGGAACCGATGGAGTTAAGTTGAAATACGCGAAATCGAATTAACGGACGAGTATCTGATTTAAAATCCGATTTTGCCCGCCGATTCTATTCATCCGCCGTAGCTTTAATCTAAGAATTCAGGAGGATCTAAATGAGTTGCCGGGAATAAAATCCAATAAGCGTCGCGACATTTCTGCTCCCTTAGGGTTAACAATGCGCTTAACCATTTTTCGTACTTTGCGTGCGAACGCGATTGTGCCTACTAAATCTACCGCGTGAACATTTGTCCGCACGTGCACAGCATATTTCGGCAATCTAAAATGGAAAAGAACGACACGTTTAACAATGACGTACAAGAAATCCTTAAATAACTGTTATCAGCAGCGTGACTACGAGCTATTCGAGATAACGCGAGTCGCCTACTGCAAACGTTTTATCGATTTCGGCTTTCAGTCATTAATCTGCAGCTATTTGCAATGCGTAAAACGGCCTGTCGCCCACCTATGCTTAAGAAGATACATACATTTCACGTAGCTATAGTTGCTTTAGTGAGCTCTTTGTGTATGTTACATACAACGGAGCAAAAGTCACATACGATTGCCCGTCTCTCTATCGCATCGAAGATGAAAAGTTAGCTCGCTTTCGCACAAATATCTCCCCCTTCCGAAAAACCGGGCCCGTGCATTATATCACTGCATGTCAAGCGAAATACCACTTTGAAAGTTGCTTGAAAACTAGCCATCGAAAACCATCCTCAATTGAACGCGAATTCTTAGTAATGGTAGCGATAAAACAATGAAAGAGCGATGAAACGCCGGAAATATATTGCCGATGGGTTGAATCGTGCTATCGGCTTGCCGTTTATTTAGCTAATACCTTACTTGCCGCTGAATAATGTCAGAGCTTCGCGTTTTATCATAATACGATCCGAGAGAGAAGGAAAAAGAGAAAGAGAAGGAAAGAGAGAGAGAGAGAGAGAGAGAGAGAGAGAGAGAGAGAGAGAGAGAGAGAGAGAGAGAGAGAGAGAGAGAGAGAGAGAGAGAGAGAGAGAGAGAGAGAGAGAGAGAGAGAGAGAGAGAGAGAGAGAGAGAGAGAGAGAGAGAGAGAGCAAATTTACATGAGCGTCCACACAATTTCGCGCTCACAAACCGAAACAGTTCGATGTTAGACGACGTCTCGATGTACGAATTGTATGAATTGGCGAGCGCCCGTCGCGTCGATTACATTTTAATGTGTAATCCAGTCATAAGACGCATA